AACCACATCGACAACCAAAGCCTTTAAAACCTACTCATTAAACCGAGACGAATGTATATGTATTGAAAAGGCCGTTGTAGTAGATGATTTGCCGGTGCATAGACCAAGAATATCTGTGAAGGACAGTGCTATCAAATCGTCCCATCTTATGGATTTACCTTGGACAGAATTAGTGGCTGGTGAAGTTATGTTGCTTATTGGGTGTGACTTACCTGAAGTGCATTGGGCCTTGGACCAAAGGTTAGGTGAAAGGAAGAGTCCTTATGCAGTTAGAACACTGTTAGGATGGTTGTTTTTGGACCAGCAGGTCACAACAAACATGGGGAAAGGATTGTAGATTATATTTCTCAAGTTGATGTCCCTGTGGAGCATAACTGTGAGTTTGCTGGCGACTGTTCCTCTGATAAATCATTATCTCTGAATGATTCAAACGTAAGTAGCATAGTAGAGCGCGACAATTACTTTGATGAAAGTTACGAGATTGTTCCTTTACCTAGAGGAGTGGCTGAGGAATACGTTGCTGCTCCCGTAATCAACGATGGGTCTGGTATGTGTAAAGGTGGCTTCGCCAAAAGTGATGCTACCAGAGCCGTATCCCCCTTTATTGTTGGAGGAACTAGACATCAAGGATTGATGGGGAAAATGGATCAAAAGGACAATCATATGGAAGACAATGCTAGATCGAAATGTTGTATCCTGACACTGCAGTGCCAAGATGAACATGGTATTTTGACTAAGTGGAGAAGATGTGGTACCATACATTCTACAACGGGTTGCGAGTGGCAACAGAGGAACATTCATTGTTTTTGCCAGAAGCTTCATTGAACCCGAATGCGAACCGTGAGATGACATGGATCATGTTTGAGACTTTTACTACACCAGCAGTGTATGTTGCTATTCAAGCGATGTTATTCCTGTATGCATCTGGTCGTACAACTGGTATAGTGTTGGACTTATGTGAGGGTGTGACCTTCACAGTTTCGACTTATGAAACTTATGCGTTGCCTTATGCTATTTTGCGTCTGGACCTTGTTGGTAGAGATCTTACCGACTTTATGATGAAGATCCTGACTGGGACCGGTTGTAGTTCCTCTGTCTACTCGTGGAACATACTCAGGCGCAAACCTCCGGACAACGTTTCGCTTTTTACTAAGTTACTAGTCTTGGCGAGAAGGGGAACATATGAGGAAGCTGCAAATGCTTTGATTTCTGGAAGAGGCCGTATAGCAGTAGGTTGTATGTCAGGTTTATGGGTGTACAGGCGGACTGTTGTAAGTCCTTTACCTCCCGTCGATATAAAGAAGTTAGTGAGGATAATCATGACAGAAATGTATTCTAAGGTGTCTTTGCGTAGCTGGAGGGATTTTGGGGGCCAGTGTAACAGCAAGAGAACAATGGGAATCCCTCCGCAGCCTTTTTGTTGGACAGTACTGTCATTCAGTTGTTTCTTCTCCCCGCCGTGTATTTCAACCTTCGTTCAGACCTCGTTTAATCACACCTTTTGTTCATCATATATTATTGCGAAATCACAATATTTAGACAGTAAAAATACATTCTGTACTAGGAAGTAAATCTGTACGGAGCATATTTACTCTGACCACAATGAAACATAACATATTTCTATGGAACCTAAGCTGTCATGAAATTACTCTTTAGAAAGCTACCTTTCCTGACCCCTTTACTATTGGAAAACATTTTTAGTGTTTGCATAAAATCTCGTCTGGAAAGTTCCCTCTATCATGTCGCTATACCTTAAGAATGATTTCGCTACCCAGATACGATCATAGAGAATATCAAACTATAAGGTACTTAATATTGATGAGAAAACTCAACGATTTTTACTACTCTCGTAAAACATCACGCTTTCTTTACCTGTTAAGACATTGTACACCTAACTGTATTTGTGTTTTTTAGATGTACTAACTATGAATAAACCGCTTGTCGCATAATTGTAAACGTTCGTTACCTTCCAATGTGCAAAATATACTTCTGTTTGCAGAGTCCTACATTCTGCTTTATTGATTACGGAGACTAATCATAGAGTATGTGGGTATGATTGACAAAACCTAATTTGTGAATATTTTTTGTCATTATTTATAATTTTCCAATAACAAACATTCAATCGACTAAAATATTAGTTTAATTGACTTAAATCGTCCATGCTCACAATTCGCATGATGTAATGACCACCGTTCGCTAAATACACGTGTTCACACACAATCCTCGTTCTGACTTTGTTTACTGCCATATTCTAACTGTTTATTGACAGATCTGTTCAACGCTTTTCCAGAATTTGAAACACTCTATATTATAAAGCAACCAAATATTATCTTTTGAATGAATCTGTGCATGGTTTATCCAGACAGGATAGAATAGCATTTATCTGTTGCGATTGGTAATTTTCTCGCATCGTTTATCAACTTCCTTATTTATTGTAATTTAGATTTGATTAATTGAACAAGCGTCACTAGCAGCTGCGAACGTTTCTTAGTGAATCAACACTCTTACACTCGTTTTATTCGGTATTCGCAATGCAGTGAAAGTTGACATTGAAACGGCACTTCAACGACCAGGAGAACTCCTGGCTCCTTCATCTTCTTCAATGAATATGGATCTAACATCCTACACAAGCGGGCTTACAAACGGTTTGCATCCTGTCACTCGGCCGCGAACAACTTATGTTTTTGTTCGACCTGTCCTACGGTATAGTACACACATCACGACTCACTTCGACAACCTTTCGAAACGGCATACAAATGACCTTTCAAAGTTCTTCAGCGTGAACCCAAGAACAATATCATCGACATGAACGGAACTAACAATAGCATCAGCATCAACCGCCTCGATTCCGCATATTTAGAAAGAAACCCTATTCATATCCATTTTCCTTTGATACCATTGTAGACACGAGTCTCACAATTACGATACCTTACCCGATAATCAACAATCACGACGACACTTTATTGGCATCTGACAACCGAGTCAAAACAATACGTTCAGGAAGAGTAAGGTTTCCAGAACACCTAAACGATCACTATAAATAAGACACTACATAGCATTTTGTTTGTCTCGATTTTTTTGACTGAATAAAAAAATTTTCAGTATGCTCAAATATATATTCAAATTAAAAAAAAAGAACTTTTGTAGCCTCTTCACTCAGGACTTCACTGGGTTGTCCGAAACCGGAGTTCTCGAATTGATGGGTAGCATAGGCACAACCACCAAAGACGGTGACACCGCCGACCTCCTAGAAGGACAGTATTTTCAAGCATTTCGGCCGTTTCATACTAGCCTCACAGACAAGAACTCTACCTGTAACTCAACAGAATTTTCATAAGAGGACGTGAGCGCTGAATTGATGTACCGGAAACTTCAGCACCTAAGAAAAGACACTTCTCCAGGTCCGAATATGGTTAATTTTACTATATTGAAGAAAACAGCTTTAATTCTGGCAATAGCGCTCGCTAAGCCTAGGCAGACTGCCGAAAAATTGGAAGCTGACTCACATCACACCGATTTTCAAAGGAGGTCAACGCGGCAAATCTTCGAGCTACTGACCGGTGGCTCTGTGCACTTTACTTTCAAAAATTATGGAGTCCCTGATACATGACGGTATACATGACTATTCATTATCTTTAAACTTTTTTTTCGCCCCAACAGCATGGTTTCAGGGAGAGTCATTCTTGTATAACCAACCTGCTGACTGCGGTGAACAGATGGACAACCATCCTTGATCGCATGGGAAAGGTTGATGTCATTTATCTTGACTTCTCAAAAGCAATTGATGGGATCAACCATATATGTCTTATCAATAAGCTCAGACGATTATGTATCACCTTTAATTGATTGGGTCATTTCATATCTAGAAAATCGACATATTAGGTCAAGATTAACTTCACTATCCCTCAAGCTATGGAATGTCATAGTGGGGTCCCCCAGTACTAGAACCTCTTCTCTTCTTGATTTATATAAACGGTCTCCAATAACAGGTATCGTCTGAGTTCTTTATTTTGCTGACGGTGTGAAACTTTGGAGAGTAATACGCAACCAAAAGGATATACTGGCACTTTAGGAGGATCTGACTCAACTTCAAAGTTGGGCTGATGACAACGGACTTACCTTCAACACTTCAAGGTGTAAAGTAGTCCATCTGCGACATGTCGCAGACTACAGTTACAACTTAGGAAACTCCTCCCCAGTGGTATCTCGAGTCGAAAAAGATTTAGAAGTCCTGGTGCTCTACGATTTGAAGTTTTACGCTAACTGTGAGAAAAATGCCTTTCGAGAAAACTTTGCACTGGTAACATTGGAGCGCATTTTGGCCAGTTTGACAGAAAAACTTTCAATATGAGCTTCACTGGTTTTATTCGTCCTCATTTAGAGTATGGAAACATAGTTTTTTCTTCCCTCACTCCAAATGATAAGGACACTCTGGAACGTATCCAAAGGCGGGCCACGAAATCAGTTCGGGGATTCAAATTCAAGCCTTATGAAGAGAACCTCCAATCACTAAACTGTTACCCATTAGCGGATAGGCGTCTTAGAGGTGACACTCTAATGGCTTACAGTACCCTTACCACTTCTGGACATCCCCTTAAATACCTACTTAAGTTTAGCTGCAACACAAACCTAAGGCATAACACCCAGAAACTAGGGACACAACACGGCAGAATGGACTGTGGACACAACTTCTACTCCTTAAGAGTTGTTAAATGCTGGAATTAGTTGCCGGATGAGCCAGTCCAGGCGACTTCTCAGGAGTCCGTTAGGAGGAAACTTGACATATTCTTGAGGACGAATGATAATATTTTGCTATGATTTACCAATTTATTTTTCCTCTGTTATCGTTAATATATCCAGGTTTCCGCCCGGAGATGTTGGTGATCCGCTGCTACTAGACACGGAAGCCCGTTAAGCGAAAGCTTCTTCTATTCCGTCCACAACCATTTGAACCATTTGGATATTGAACTCGGAAGCGCTCAAAACTGCTGTTGGGTTACGGTGCGTCGACAACGGCTTGACCTCCCCAATTGTGGTCTCGTTTTTCAGATTGTCGTTATCTTTCGCTTGTATCCTCACCAATTGTAATAATTTGCTTTTAATATTATTTAACATGTTCTATGTGCATACTCAGCAGTCGATCCACTTTATATCATGACTTTTTTACAGATTATTTCTCTGGTCTTCACCCTTTCCCAGTAAATAGTACTTCTTAGCTAAAAACAAAATCCTACCAAAAGTTGAAAACTACATCAATGATGGACCCAAGCGCTCCTGTTGTACCCCAAGAAATAAGCACTGATCAACCTGTTTTATCAGATGAGGAAAATGCAAGGCTACAAGTTGAATTGTCTCAGGTAATTTGTAGTGTTTTTCGTTGGCAAAGTCAACGTCCACTAAAACGCTAAAAATATTATGTTCCTCTAGTACTTGTTATGTTACCCTCACAACGAGAAATAGATCATGATATCTTAAGCTTAGTTTACGACTCTTTGATTTGGCTTGCTATTTTGATTAACAAAACTATACTTTTGGTTGCTGTTTATAAATATAATGGTATTCTTATTGGTTCACGCGGGTTTCTGTCTTGTGTTAACTGATTAGAGGATATGACTATGAATCAATAGGTCGCAGGTTTAAACCCCACTCTGTGTACTAGTTTGTTCAGGCAAGTGTCACTAGCCTTTACTTAAGTATAATTCATACTAAAACATGTAATCCTATAGATCAATTGATTGGTTTGACTATCGTAACGTTTTAAAGGTCTTGGATAGCTACAACAACTGTCTTCATATTTAAAGGAGTGGAAGCATTACCTTCAACGATGCTAGGAGTACCTAGATAATTTCCCCATGTCATTGGCACTTCTGAATTATTTCTTTGTTGACTGCTGACTTTGTCGTAAACGTTAATTAGTAACATGGTTGTCAGAGGTGTCGATAAACGTTCTATGTATTGCGTTTATTGTTTGCCTAAGTCTGTCCGTTCATCCTGATAATCTTTTCCTAATCTCCTGTAACTTTGATCATGAGCGGAAAGTTTTTCCGACTAAGTGAGTTGTGATATCAAGTTACCAACGAACCCGGTTAAATATCGTTCCTTATCGTATTTCAGAAGGATCGGGGGACGAGTAATGTTTCCCTTGTGATACCATCTGTGTTTCAATCTTTGGATAAATGTTTCTTTTTGTGCCTAAAGTGTTCGAAAACATATCTAAAGTCCATGTTTTTAGTTGTAAAACGAGGAAACCAAATGTGTGTACATAGACTGTAAGTGTTTTAACGTGACCGAAATCCACTAAAAGGTAGTAGGTCTTCACAATTCTATCCAATCTCGCTTCATCTGGTTCCGAATACCATGGGGAAGAAAATCAGCTAAAGAATAGATTGCCTTAGTATATTTAGTGACATCAAGTAACAGTAACCAGAATCAACATGGCGAAAAGTCCAACAGTATTCGATATCAGTCCTCAATTATCAAGCTCGAAAAGGACGTTGGTTAGTTTAACTGTTGCCAAACATAAACTAACGATCTGTAAGTACTAAGCAACTTTCGGGACTAAATAGGTGTTGTCATCCCTCGTCAAGTTGTCTTATGCATACGTCTAAATACAAGATCAGTTATATAGTTATTTGTTTCTGGTTAGCTGATAGAATAATTCGTTTCAAAGGGTAGTACTATAAGAATTATGGCCTCATAAACTGTTAACTAGAAGGGTAAAAAATTTAACACTTAATGGACGTATAATAAATGTAAATGAATTTTCGCCAGTCTTCTTTCCCCATTACATTAAGTAATTATGTTCATTAAACAAATAGTTTCCATTCAGAGTATTTTCTTCAATACACTTTCATACTAAGTTATGTAACTGGTATTTGTATCGCCTCATGTCAAATAATCTAAATCTAAATAGGATCTTTAAAAAACTCACATGCCAATGGTTTTCCATAGCAGAGACGAGGAAATACTTTTATTAACTTTTCTCACTGCATTTACTGCATATAAAACTGAATTCATAAGTACTAAAGTGTAGAATACAATTGAACCTATGTAATTACAATATTTTAACTTCAAATCATTGAATAATTATGCGAAGATTTTCTGCTGATCGATTCTCATAACAACAGTGTAACTTAGGAAGTAGGGTTTCGTTTAATTGACAATCAGTCACTTCTGTAAGGGCATATAATACTACTATCTTGTCTTCCACACCGATTTAATTGGGTCAGTATTCGAGCCTGAAATCCTATGATTAAAAGATGAACACTTCAAATACTGAGGTACCTTTTCACTAATTTCAGTTATTTACTATATGTTAACGATATTTTATGTAGTAACAATATTTAATCCGTTTTCAGGCCTGTAGTTTTATTTTTAGTATGAGTTTCTTCACTTCCTATGTACTCTCATATTGTAGGTTGAAGAAGAAATTCGTCTCCTTCAAGAAACTCTTGTTGTTAAGCAGCGCCGATCTAACGAGATAAAAAAGGCTCTTGGTTTTACCACACTTTCTACATTGCAGTATGACCTCATGGAAGGTATTCATAAATTGGAAGATACAGAAGCGTGAGTGCTATATATATATATATATATATATATATATATATATATATATATATATATATAGTCAGTGTACTGATTTTCCCTAGTTTTCTTTTAATATATACTACCGTTATAGAACTAATTACAGCCTTTTTATAACTATACCAGTCTTCAAAAGGTCATTTGTGAGTTGAACGTAAAGTCCTAAGTTTTCGGTTATGGTATCCCTCATTCGTACCTTGTTTTCCCCTATAGTCAGTTTCCTCATCAATATCCTCGTAATAAAAGTTTTACCACAAGTAAATAAAGTTTTTACCACAGTGTAGTCTTTCGCCAGGAGGATTGTTAAATTAGATTGCATAGCCGTCAACGTTCTCAAAGACCAAAACATTTTAAAGGTCCAGGTTCTTCTCAAAGCGTACTACGATAGAGCAAAAGGATGTTTCCCCAGTGTTTGTCTCCATCACAGTGGCTTGGCTGTATTCAGTGAGCTTTGGATTGTTCGGCATTACCCATCCTCTTATTTCATTTATTCCTTTTCAGTCATATTGTCTGTTTAATATCTCATTTTTCTTCGCGTTGTTCCATCACTGTGAAGTATGGTGATATGTGCCGATGCACATATATACCAGTCTATGTATTGTTTTATCGACCTGCTTTTTCGCCAACTATTTAACCTAGATCTAGTGATTGATTTACTATAATATGTTTATCACCTACATATTTGTTATTTTTGTAATCGTAAGGTTGGTTGAACTTTAGAAAGTTGAAAATTCTTATTGTCAGCAGTCAAATATCATCAACTTAGCAGCATAGGTATTTATGTTAACGTTGTTTACTGTGGTTTCTCACTTTTTGACTACCTTTAATGCTTTTCCTCGTTTTTTTTTAAAAATTTAATCCAGATATATCAAAACAAGCGAACTTTTAAGTAAAGCTAAAGATAAGACCGTCAATGTAGCCCAAGATGCTAAAGAAAAAGTCGGATCAACAATTTCTGCTATTCGGTAGGGTTTCAATTTCACCTTTTCTTTAATCATGCAATGTTATTTGTTCTCCTCTTTCTATTACTCAAGGAATTCAGAGGTTGTGAAATCATTGAATGATAAAGTTGGTTCTGCTTATTCAACAGTTAAAGTAGGTTCTTTTAAAAAAATATATCGGTTTCTTGTTAATGTGTGTGCTTGGGGTCAGTTGGGAAATTTTATTTGTCGTGACATTGATCAAATATTCTGATAATTCATTTAATTAATCCCTTTTGACACATGACGATGATAGTCTGGCTTTTTCATCTAAAAAAGAAAACAAGGAAACGTTTTACTCTGTTATTGACTTCTTTGTGCTAAACTAACGAACAAATTTAAAAGAGGAGCTATAATATGACCGTTGCTTCTACCTTGACGTGGTGGTCGTGCTTGCCTATCTTGATGAACCAGTCGAGCTATACTAGCTGGGACAATCGTTCCTCAAGGTCCTACCATGCCAGACGGGTTGGTTGAAGAGCAGTAAGAATAAAAGCAGCAAACCCATGGTCCGAAGGCGAAGTCGTACTGTTGACTATATAGAGATGTGACGGTGGTAAGCTGTTTCTTTCAGACAACCAGCATAACAGCGATGCTGTCTTCCCACAAGGAGGGCTGGGGTTAGAAAAGGTTGACCCTAAAAATACACATCTTGCCTTATCCCGCAGATTTCCATCTCCGGCTGTAGGGTTCCAATAAGTACGGAGCTAACACAAAAATTACTCACAAAAAGGTTGTGTGTGACCGACCTCAAGCAGTTGTCCCTTGGGCACTGCGGTCACGCTCTCAAGTCACTAAGACCACCTTGAGCCCAATTTCCTTTTCAGGTACCTCCAGAAAACCCCCCTACTGTGTGGGCAACCAGGAAGTGATAACCACCCTCATACCTCTAACAGCACTCAAGATCATTGTATTCATAATCAATCTCCCTCTTCAATTCCTATTATTCCTCCTACCTTGACTTTCAACTCTAAACCTACTCTTTTGACTTCCTCCGGAAGTGTCACCATGGTCAGCGATTCTATTGCGCGAAACACTGTTCCAGGTCTATTGAAACCTCGCATAGTGTGAAAGACGACTTTTACAGAAAGCTTTCTGAACTTCTTCAGGAAGCTAAACGTTCAGACATAGCACCCGTAGCAGGTGGCTTTAATGCCTAGGTAGGTAGCTTAAACCAAGCAGAAAGACATTTAAATGGGTATTCTGGTATTCCGGCTCAGCGAACAGATAATGATGACCGTCTGCTGCAACTTTGTTCAGACAGTCGTTTATTTTTAGGAAGCACTAATTTTAAGCATAAGGAGAGACACCGTCTAACATGGCGACCCTCTGCACCGAATCAACGATGGACTCAGATAGACCATATTGCCACCAGTATTCGTTTGAGAGGCTCTATGGAAAACTGTCGCTCGTTCTGGAATACCTGCTTGGACTCCGATCATGCTCTAATACGAGCACGCGTTTGCTTGCGCCTCTCTGGACGCATAAAAACCACATTAGAAGACCCATTCAAGTCGAGGAAGCCGAAAGTAGATTCCGGGAATAACTCAGGTCATACCTAGGTAGTTCTGAAAACGAGGCAACCCAGATGTTACCTGGAAAGATATACCAACAGCTGTGGAAACAGCAGCTCCATCTATTAGTGATTCGAACCAAAGAGTCACGAAAAACCGATGGATTTCTGCTAAGTCTTTAGCACTGATAGATTCTCGTAAACTCATGCCATCAGGCTCTGAACACGATAACGAGCGAATACAAATCAGATCTTGGTTAACCAAAAGACTAAGGAACGACCGTGAACAGTGGTGGGCAACGAAAGAAATAGAGATGGAAAAGGCAGCAGCTGTATGTAACACAAGACAGATTCTCAGACTAATAAAAGAAACCGGAATTATTAAGTCGAATTTAAGTGAGGTGATTTCGGAAAAAGACGACACTCTTATCTGCTCTCAGTCCAGACGTTTAGAACAATGGGCCGAATATTTTAAGGATCAGTTCAGCTGGCCTTCAGCTATTCTACAACTACTCGAGATTCCCAGACAGCGTGAATGGAACATTGAAGTAGGTCCCTCGACTCTATCTGAGGTTCAGAAAGTTATAGCTAATCTGAAACGAAGAAGAGCAGCTTGTTCAGATGGATTGGCTCCAGAGGTCTTTGTGGATGATGGTCTACTTTTAGCGTTGAGGTTAACTAATATTTTAGCTAAAATCCCATCTGACTGGTCGCAATCACTTACTGTCCCAATATATAAGAAAGAATCAAAATCATCCTGTGATAAACATAGAGGGATTAGTTTGACTAACATGGCATCTAAAATACTAGCCTCAATAATTATCGGACGCCTAAGACTCGTGAACTGCAAACACGAGAAAATCAGGCTGGCTTAAGACCTGGTCTTGGCTGCATCGACCACATTCACCACTCGTCAGGTTCTAGAACGCAGGTATGCTTATCGGCGTCCGACAGTGGTGGTCTTTCTTAACGTAAAAGCAGCACTCAACTCTGACTGAGAGGTTCTGTGGCAGTGTCTGTCATTAAAAGGCGTACCTCAGAAGTACATAAAGATTTTGAAGGCTCTTTACTCGAGCACTACTAGTCGAGTCAGCTTATGGCAAACCTTCATCTGATTTAACAACCTCAAGTGATGTTCGGCAAGGTTATCCACTATCTCCATTTTTGTTCAACTTCATCATATGCACACTGATGGAACTAACTTCCTCGTCGACTGAACTTTTAGGAATTGATATCCTTTCAGGAGGTCCACTTATCGACTTAGAGTACGCGGATGAAATTGTCCTGTTTTGTGGAGACGCTGATAAAATGCAGCATCTTTTGGTAGCACTGAAAAACAATGCCAGGATGTTTGGGATGCGTTTCTCCCCTCTAAATGCAAGCTGTTGCTTCAGGACTGGTCTGCATCAACACCTGAACTAAGGATAGGGAGTGAAGTAGTCGAGCGCGTCGACAACTTCACTTGTCTTGGAAGTCTGACCAGCCCTAATCGGTTGGTGTCTGGCGAAATTTGTTGACGGATTCAGAAAACTGGTTTGGTTTTTGCCAACTTACGTTACCTATGGCCAAGGCGAGATATCCGTCTATCAATTAAGGGACGAGTACACTGCGCAGCAGTTCGTTCTGTTCCACTTTACGGCTACGAAACGTGGTCAGTAGGAGTATTAAATACTCGTAAGTTGCTAGTATTTGTTCACAGATGTCTTAGAAATATAGCTCGCATCTGCTGGGATCACCGAGTAAGTAATAATGAGGTTAGACGCAGGGTGTTAAGGAATGATGTTAAATCAGTTGATGAGGTTGTGAATGTTCACCGACTGAGATGGTTGGGTCACGTATATCTGAACACCGATTACCACGACGCGCAATGCTGACTAGTGTTGGAGACTGTTGGAATAAAGTTGAGGGCGGCCAAACCAAAACGTGGCATCAGTCATTGAAGTCACTAACTTGTGATGTGAGCCATGTTGGTAGATGTATACTTCTTGGTTGGCGTCGACGCGACTATAGTAACCAATGGTTGGAGACACTGTGTGACACAGTGGTGTAAGTGTATAAACTCTTTGTCTTCCCTTAAACGGTGAGATTAAAATTACTTTATACCTTTCGTTCTACGAACTAATTCTTTCTTCCTGTATTATATCCTTATACACAGTTTCTTTTATACATTACTACCATTGAAGTAACTACTATGAATTTGGTATTGATCTCGTTGTGATAATGAGGTGTGGCAACTTGGACCGATTCATATTTGTGCCTGGTCCTACGTTGCAGCTGACTGACTATAATATGACCAATTCGGAATAAATCCCTTATCAAGTTATATTATAAATTTAATTAGATTCTACTTTTAAGTTGGCTACTGTGTATTGCACTGAATAAGCTATTTGTTTGTGTTTATTTTATCAATATTTCAATCATAAGTGATATTTCTGGCAATTGTAATATCTTATTTCATTAACCTATCATATAAACTAGATTCTTGTCGAAAGTGTACTGTCTCCAACTTGAATATTATAAAGTAGCACCAACTACAGGTACTGAGGAAGTTAGTATCATTAGTCAGTCAATATGACGTAGAGTCTGGCACATGTGTGCGTTGGTCCTAATTACTATGACACAAGCTTGACGAGATGTAATTAATTAAGTTATTAATACATGAATCGAAATAATGTAGCAATAATAATGCGAATGACTAAACATAGAGAATAAAAAAGTCAGTCAGTCAGTAACAACGTAGAACTTCGTACGTACGTACATCAGTTCGAGTTGCCACACTACATTAGCACAGAGATGCAGTGGTCGATTCAAATCCCGTAGTGGTAGAGGTAGCAAGAGTATAAGCAGTAATCGGGAAGATTAGGGTTTGGAGATGTTATTTAAAGAGTATAATCCAGTGAAAGAAATTTGGAAAGAGGGAAAAAGGGACATGAAGAATTCAGAAGATTAGAGTTTTGGAGAACACAGAGAGTGGATGCACCTGCGCCATTGCGAACGATTTTGAGCCATGTCATTCAGGGTCTCTAACCATCGGTTGCTGTCATCTCGCGGTCCCCAACCAGGTAGTCTACACCTACCAACATGACTCAGTTCACTTGTCAGTGACTTCATGGACTTGTGCCATGTTTTGGTTTGGCCGCCCCTAGCTTTCTTCCAACCTACTCCTATACCACTGAACATAGCACGTCGAGGCAGTCGGTCGTTGGCCATACGTAACACGTGTCCCAGCCATCTCAACTGATGAAGTTTCACTACTTCATCAATTGATTTGCCATCCTTACCTAGTACCCGTTTCCTAACAACTGTGTTACTTACTCGATGGTCCCATGATATACGAGCAATGTTTCGAAGACACCTATGATCGAATACTAGTAACCTACGGATATCCTCTACTCTTATCGGCCATGTTTCACTGCCATAAAGTAGGACGGAACGAACTGCTGCGCAGTAAACACGTCCTTTGGTTGATAGACGGATATCTCGCCTACGCCATAAATGACGCAAGTTGGCAAAAGCTAGTCGAGCCTTCTGTATCCGTGCTGAGATTTCGTCACACACCAAACCACAAGGGCTGATGAGACTTCCAAGATAAGTGAAGCGGT